CCCCCCATTCGCGTATGCATCATCAAATGTTATACTGTCTTCTTCCAAAACTTGATGAACTCGCTTTCCGTGGTGACTATGATTTTTGATACCTTTTTTACAGTCGTGTAAGTCACACCATTGACCTCCTCTCCTCTGCTTATGACATTTACTGTTCTCTTTGGTGACGGAGGTTTTGGGGGTTCCTGTCTATTCTTCATATATGCTTGCTTACCTTTCTCACTGAACAATTCAGCTAAGTATCCTTGTTTAATAAGTGCTCTACTTCACCTTGTTTCAATCTCTGTCCCTAGATCTGGAATTGTACCTTGGGTTCTCCTGTTTTGAACTTGAATCCTTTCCTGCTGGTCCCATGTATGTTTTGTACCTATTCTTATCGGACTTTTTTTAGTCTCTGGTCGCCTCGAGCTTGCTCTTTCATCTCTGATATATTTTCAATATCTTTGCCTTGTGTTATGATAATCTAACAAACTTAATGTCAAGAACCAGATAGGGAACCTGACTCACTTGGATTACACTGCATCTAACGGATTCCGGCCAAATGTGAACTTGCTACAGCTTCAGGAGGTAGGAACCCAAACAAAGACCTGATACTCTTGTGGGTTCCTCACGGGAGTACAAAGTCAATTGGACACAGCTGGAAACGAAGATTCTGCCGCACTGCACTGTTTTTAGCGCCTACTCATTCTCTGATCAACTGAAGTACAATGATTCAAGTTACTCAACTCAAGACAATCTAGGCAGTGTGCACAAGTACCAGATCAGGAACCTGATCCCTTGGTGCTCCCCTGACAGAAGTACAAGTCAACTATATAGTTGGAACACAACTACAGAAAGTGACTGTCCGCAACTATACAAAGAGGAACACAACAGGTACCTGGTCACTTAGGGTTCTCTGACAAAAGTATAAGGCAACTATACAGCTGGAACATAACTGAGTGACTGTCTGCATCTGTACAAAGAGGAACACAATAGGGACCTGGTCCCTTAGGGTTCTCTGATAGAAGTACAAGTTAACTACAGCTGGAAAGCAATTGCAGAAAGTGACTGCCTGCAATAGTGCATCAAACAGGGCAGCAGTCACTTCCCATTAAGATTGGACATCACTAAGGATGTCTTGTGTAGTATAAACCTTATGCAAGGCATAAGATTCAGGTTCAACACTTGTAAATACAGAAAACGAAAATTCTCTCAAGTGCTCAAGAACCTCTCTCAAGAACGAAGTTGCTGCAACCTCAAGGACCTGATCCAAGATTGATGATATCTTAAGTCCTTAGGATTGTTGAGTCTTTGTTATGTGTTCTTCATTGTAACTCCTATCCGGCTTTCTTAGAAGCGTTATATTAGGAACAAACCAAAATCTGTAAACTCCCTAAGTTTATGTTATGGCTAGGATTAGTCATAAGCAAAAGCCTTCGTAACCGTAGTGTGACAAAGTCGCTTGTGGTTGAAATATCACAAGTTAGTCAAAGCCTTTGTAACCGTAGTGTGACAAAGTGGCTTGTGGTGAAAATACCACAAGTTAGTCAAATTCTTTGTGTCTAGGATAGTTATAGAGTGGCTTGTGATGAGAGCATCACAAGTTAGTTGAAGTCTTTGCAATAGGGTTATTGTAAAGTGCCTTATAATAGGGAGATTGCAAGTTAGTGAAGTTAAAAGCCTACTGGTGTAGGTCGTGGTTTTTTGATCCCCTTGTGTGAGATTTTTCCACGTAAAAATCTTCGGCCTTATTTACATACAAATTTACTAGCATTCACAGCAGAACCCCACAAAGGACCAGGTACTCTGCTATTTAGTGGACTCATACAAGCTTAGCACTGTACCAAACTGATATAGGACCAGATCCCTATACATTTTGGTTCATCGGTATTTTCAGAGGAAACATATAGAGAACCCGGTTCTCTATACAGTCTGGTGGACGCACAATTTCTAACAAGTGATATCAGAGCAGGATCTTCCTATCAGGCTATCACCTAGGAAAGATCCTCATGGCTACTCCACCAACTTTTGAAAGGAGAGAACCAAAGAAGGAAAAGTATCTGATACTTAAAGATGCTAACAATGATTCGAGTGAGGAAGACAATTACATGGCTTACTTAACCAAAAGGTTTCAGAAGATGGTTAGAAGAAATGGATAATTGCTAGAAAGGGACAATTCTAACAAATCAAAGAACAATGATCTGTGTTACAAGTGCGGAAAAGCTGGACACTTCATGAAAAATTGTCCTCTCTTGAAGCAAGAATTCTCCAAGAACTTCAAGAGAAAAAAATCAGCTGAATATGACTCAACCTTTGCTTTAATGGATCAATCAGATGATAATGAAGACGATGACAACAAAGAGGTAAATTTCAGGGATGTTCAGAGAAATATGAAATCCTATTCTCCAAGAAAACTTATGTCTTTAGCTAATGTATTAATCAATGCCTTTCATAGTCTTGTGGAGGATAGGGATTCCTTGACATTAGAATTAGCAGAATCTAAACAAACTAGAGATGACTTAGTGGCTGTAGTTACTGATCATAAGAAAACCATTGAAATTCTCAGAAAAGAAAAGAATGATCTTTCGGCAGAAGTTACAGACCTAAGGAAAGCAATAGTGAAACCCTAGACTAAGTTAAAACCTGAAAATTCTGGAAAAGGAAAGGAGATAGCCAGTGAGATATACATTAGGCTTGAAAAGGAGTTGAAAGCTGCTAGAACTAGGATATGTGGTGAACTCGAGAAAAATAGGTAGCTTCAAGCTGAATTGAAGAAAGTAAAAAGGGATCTTGAGAAATCTCTCAAGTGGACCTGGTCCTCAGATGCAGTCATTGCCATGTACTTTAACAATAATGGAAACAGGCAGGGAATCGGGTTCCAAAAGGAGAAAACTCCTTACAACCCTTACAGCAAGTACGTCACAATTCCTGATAACTGGCTGTGTACCCACTACGGGAACAATGGGCACTTCAAAGAAAATTACCAGGCCAGGGCTCAAACTGTTCAGAAAAACAAAGTGTTTGCTGACAAAGTAACTACGAACAGGGGACCAGGTACCGCTCGCAAGAAACCAATGTTGACTGCATAGACTAGAAAAGCCTTTATCCATACCTTTTATCATAACAAGGGACCCAAACTAGTTTGGATTCCTAAATCTAACCCATAATATAGATGTGCAGGGAATAGTGGGAGGAAGCGGACTACAATGGATCTTGGACAATAGATGCTCAAAGCACATGACTGGAAATACCATGGATTTTCTCTCACTGAAAGCCCTGCAAGGAAGGGATGTACCCTTTAGAAAATGGAAAGAAGGGGTACATCCTAGGTATGGGGAAGAAAACAAGGTAGAAGTTAATGTCTAAGCTGGTGATATGAGTTGCTTGAATGCAGTTGATAATGATTCGAAGACATGCCATAAAGGATTGGGGGGATACAAGTTTCTCACTTCTGGATATATTGATGAAGAAGGACCTAGTCCATGGTCTGTCAAATTCAAAGTTCAAATAACACGGAGCATGCAATTCCTATGGGGATACTGAGCAGGAGTGAAAGGAGGTGCATGATCAGACCTCTCCTGAACAAAACCCCATATGAGTTGCTCAATGGAAGAAAACCAAAGATAACTCATCTAAGAACCTTTGGATGAAAATTCTATGTTCTCAATAACGGGAATGACCAACTTGGGAAGTTTGATGCAAAAAGCGATGAAGGAATCCTTCTGGGATACTCCCCTCAAAGCAAAGCCCACAAAGTCTACAACAAAATGGCACACTGTGTGGAAAGAAGTGTTCATGTGCTATTCAACGAGACATCCTCCTCTAAAAAAGGAGGAAACAATGATGATTAAGATAATGAACCACTTTTGGTCCCTGGAAAATATCCGGGGCTTCAAATGAGAAGGCTTATTTGATGAGTAAGATGAAGGAGACAGGTGAGAGACAATGCAACATCCTCTTATACATCTAAAGAGGAACCTGGTACTTCCATTACTACCCCTGAAGTAGAAGAAAGAGTTGGAGATGCAGTGCAAGGCACTCCCTAAGTAACTGAACAAGGAGTTCAGGGAAATCCATTTAACTATCCCAGTTTCTCTACCAATCAATCTTCAGTCCCAAATTGGAAATACAAAAGCTCCCATTCACTTGATAATATAATCACCCCTTGATTCTGGAGTTCAGACAAGATCAAAAACCAAAAATTCCCTAGCCTTCTCAGCATTTCTATCCCAAAGAGAACCCAAAAATATCAAGGAAGCATTGTACGATGCAGACTGGATTACTGAAATGTAAGAGGAACTGCATCAACTTGAAAGAAACAAGGTATGTCACCTGGTACCTAGACCCTCAGACAGAACCATCATAGGGACCAGGTGGGTATTCAGGAATGAGCTGGAGAAACATGGAAATTCTACAAGGAACAAAGCAAGGCTTGATGTCCAAGGATTCAATCAAGAGGAAGGGATCGGTTATAATGAGACTTTTGGCCCAGTAGCTCGCATGGAAGCTATTAGGATCCACATTGCCTTTGCTTCACATATGGAATTCACCTTATTTCAACTGGATGTGAAGAGTGCCTTCCTGAATGTTTTTCTCGAAGAAGAAGTCTATGTCAAGTTACCTCTAGGCTTTTGAACGTCATGTTCATCCTGAACATGTATTCAAAATTGGATAAGCCACTGTACAGATTGAAGTAGGCCCCTAGAGCCTGATATGAGAGATTATCCAAGTTTCTCTTGGAAAAATGGCTTCACAATAGGAAAGATTGACAATACATTATCTTTGAAGAAACAGAGAAGAAACCTGCTCATTGATCAGATATATGTGGATGACATCATATTTGGAGCAATAACTAACTCATTATGTTAAGAATTTGCTAAACCCATGGGAAGTGAGTTTGAAATGAGTACGATGGGGGAACTGAATGTCTTCCTAGGTCTCCAAGTGAAGCAGTCCATAAAGGGAACGTGTATCAGTCAGAAATGCATCACAAAACTCTTGAAAAGGATTGATATGGCAACATGGGAATCATTGGATCTCTACTCTACCTTACTGCTAGCAGGCCGAACATTGTATTTGGTGTGAAATTATGTGCAAGGTTCCAATCAAATTTTAAGGAATTTCATCTGAAGGGTGCTAAGAGAATTCTGAAATATTTTAAGGGCACACAGAACCTGGTTCTGTACTATACTTCAGGTGATAATTTCAACCTTATTGGTTATGCTGACACTGATTATGCAGGTTATCTGGTGGATAGGAAAAGCACATCTAGAATGGCTCATTTACTTGAATCATGTTTTATCTCATGGGGTACAAGGAAACAAAACTCAGTAGCTCTCTCAACAGCTGAAGAAGAGTATGATGCAGCTACCTCGTGATATGCTCATTCACTATGGATCAAGAAAAAATTGGTAGATTTTGGTGTATACATTGATTGTGTACCGCTTCTATGTGTCAACACCAGTTCTCTCAACATGGCAAAGAACCTGGTTCTATACAAAAAAACCAAGCACATTGATATCAAACACCATTTTCTCAGGGATTATATAGAAAAGGGTCTTATTTGTACAAGATTTTGTTGCACGGAAAATCAAATTGCAGATATCTTCACCAAAGCTCTGAGCAGAGAACACTTTGAGAAACAAGATGGCATTGGGATCACTTGAACCTAATTGAGAACCTGGTTCTGCTGACATGACTATCATAGTCACACTAAGGTAAAATTGGCTAAAGTGTTTTCTGACTAGGCCGAACTCACATCTATACCGTTGCAGGTAAACACACATGATGATCATAGAAGCTAAAAGAACAGTGTTGAACTTCGGAGGAGAGTCGCAAAAACCCTTTTACAAAAACAGGTCAGGAACTTGGTTCCTGCACCACAGGTTAGTAGTAATGTGTTTTTCGCATGCTTGTTCAAAGGAAAAGATAGCAAAATTAATTCAACTGCCATATCATCTAACTTTTCAGACCAGTAGTTCTAAACCATTATCTCCCTTTGCACCTTTTACCACCTCTCTCACCATAGCCAACGAATAATCGAATTTTTCTATTGCCATCAACATCACTCCCACATCTCCTTCTCCCTTAATATCATCACCAGAAACCCACTTCTTCAATATACCTGATACTACTGTACCCATATCGGTTTCCTCCTCTTCTCCAGTCACCTCATCTCTAGTCTCACTTTCATGTGTTGCAAACCCTACTTCTCCTCTGTTCCTGAATCTCAGGGGGAAGAAACTCTATTCTTAGGGGATGAAAGAACTCTGGTGCTTTTTGAGTCTCCGGTTCATGACACCGTCATAGAAGAATCTGTTGAAGAACCTGATTCTCTTTTAGCTAAAACAAACTAGGTGATTATAGAAGAAAGAGGCTTTTGAGTTTGCCTTGCAGAAGAGTAAGCAGAGTATTATAAAAAGAAGAAGAGGTTGATGAAATAGGGGGAAGCTGTGGCTGATAAAAACATTCCAGTGGTTAAGGTTGATAAAGATGTTGTGGAGGAACCTAGTTCCTTATTGAAAAGATCTACAAAAGGGTATGGCTGAGAAAGATTTGTTTGAGGGTGGCATTGTGGCTGTTGCAATCAGGAATGGGAAGTTTATTGAAATATTTAGAAAATAAAAGTGGGAAACTATGGGAAGACCTGGTTCAATGAATACCATTTTAAGTGACAGTGGACTTGGGCAGGAGAGTTAACTCAGAAAAAGTCTTGTGGGGTCGCACGCTTGCCTGACAATCTAGAAGATGGCAAGTATGAGACAAGTTCTGGACTTAGGTAACTAGTGGAGAACCTGCGGGAAAAACTGCTTGACTAACATTTATCTGCAACTACCCGCTTAGACCTAGCTCTCAAAACCATTGCTGCCTCCTCTTCCAAGCCTCCATCTTCTAGTGCCCCCTAGGATCCTCTCAGTGGCTAGTTATCTTTTGCTTTGATGATTTTGTGGCTGTTGTTTTTCTTTTTGGTTTGTCTTTTTGTGATCGCATGTTGGATTTCACCGTGCTGCTCCTGTTGAAACAGTAAAATTTCTTATCAATAAAACAACTCTTCTTTTACTTCTACAATGCTTGTTTTTCCTTTTGCTTATCTTTTCTTTCATGATTATGTGCACATATGTGGCATGCATTAGCTTTGTTGGACTTCTTTATGCCTTTTTGTCTAACTATGTCTTTTTGTTGATGCCAAAAGGTGGAATAATAGAGTCAAAGGGAACATATGTCAGGGGGAACATATGCAGACATATGTCAGGGGGGAAGAATAAAGTCAGGGGAACATATGCAGACATATGTCAGGGGGAAGAATAGAGTCAGGGGGAACATATGTAGTTGCTGGTACCTTATCTTGTTAAGTCAAATAGTCATCAATGTTCAAAGTTTGTCATCATCAAAAAGGGGAAAATTGATGGGCTTAAGGTCTTTTAATCTATGTTTTGATGATCGAACAAACTTTCTGTATGGAACCAGATAAAAGACCAAGAATAATAGTAAAAGGTCAGGGGGAATATATGGGGAAACATGTGTAAGTAAGGGCATAAAGTCAGGGGAGCCTATGATCTCCTGTTATACAATCTGGTTCTCTAAACTCTAACTCCTCGTTTTCAATGCTAAGTTTGTCATCATCAAAAAGGGGGAAATTTGATAGGTTTTCAATATCTTTGCCTTATGTTTTGATAATCTAACAAACTTAATGTCAATAACCAGATAGGGAACCCGACTCACTTGGATTGCATTGCATCTAACGGATTCCAGCTAAATGTGAACTTGCTACAACTTTAGGAGATAGGAACCCAGACAAGGACCATATACTCTTGTGGGTTCCTCACGGTAGTACAAAGTCAATTGGACATAGCTGGAAACTAAGATTCTACCACACTGCACTGTTTTCAGCGCCCACTCATTCTCTAATCAACATAAGTACAATGATTCAAGTTACTCAACTCAAGACAATCTGGGTAGTGTGCACAAGTACCAGATCAGGAACCTAATCCCTTGGTGCTCCCCTGACAGAAGTACAAGTCAACTATACAGCTGGAACACAACTGCAGAAAGTGACTGTCCGCAACTGTACAAAGAGGAACACAATAGGGACCTGGTCCCCTAAGGTTCTCTAACAAAAGTACAAGTCAACTATACAACTGGAATGCAACTGAGTGATTGTCCGCAACTGTACAAAGAGGAACACAACATGGACCTGGTCCCTTAGGGTTCTCTGATAGAAGTACAAGTCAACTACAGCTGGAAAGCAATTGCAGAAAGTGACTGCCTACAACAGTGCAACAGTCACTTCCCATTGAGATTGGACATCACTAAGGATGTCTTGTGTAGTATAAACCTTATGCAAGCCATGAGATTCAGGTTCAACACTTGCAAATACAGAAAATGAAAATTCTCTCAAGTGCTCAGGAACCTCTCTCAAGAACAAAGCTGCTGCAACCTCAAGGACCTGATCCAAGATTGATGATATCTTAAGTCCTTAGGATTGTTGAGTCTATGTTATGTGTTCTTCATTGTAACTCCTATCCGGCTTTCTTAGAAGCATTGTCTTAGGAACAAACCAAAATCCGTAAACTCCCTAAGCTTATGCTGTGGCTAGGATTAGTCATAAGCAAAAGCCTTTGTAACCATAGTGTGACAAAGTGGCTTGTGGTGGAAATATCATAAGTTAGTCAAAGTCTTTGTAACCGTAGTGTGACAAAGTGGCTTGTGGTTGAAATACCACAAGTTAGTTAAATTCTTTGTAACTAGGATAATTATAGAGTGGCTTGTGATGAGAGCATCATAAGTTAGTTGAAGTCTTTACAATAGGGTTATTGTAAAGTGTCTTATAATAGGGAGATTGCAAGTTAGTGAAGTTAAAAGCCTATAGGTGTAGGTCATGGTTTTTTGATCCCCTTGTGTGGGATTTTTCCACGTAAAAATCCTCGGCCTTATTTGTATACAACATTACTAGCATTCATAGTAGAACCACACAAAGGACCAGGTACTCTGCTATTTGGTGGACTGACACAAACTTAGCACTGTACCAAACTGATATAGGACCAGATCGCTATACAGTTTGGTTCATCAGTATTTTCAGAGGAAACACATAGAGAACCCGGTTCTCTATACAGTCTGGTGGACGCATAGTTTCTAACAATCTCCCCGTGACTGAGTGATAGTATCTTCTTCTATCCGCAGCTTCGTGCTATACCTGTTATAAATATCATTCCAAGTAGTTTTAGGGAATTCTTGTAAGCTTTCTTTGAGTCTTCTCGTGGCTTCTGAGCTCTTCTCATTTAAATTACTTGTAAACCCCATAGCCACCCAATTGCCAGGTACTCGTGGTAGCATCATCCTTTCACATTGAAATTTATCTACGAATTCCCAGAGTAACTTTGTATCTCCTTGTTTTATTTAGAAGATGTCTTCCATCTTCTTCTCAACTTTCTTAGCTCTCGAGTGTGCTTCTATAAACGAATGTGCAAGCTCAGCAAAAGAATCAATAGAGTTTTTAGGTAAAAGAGAATACCATGTTAATACACCTTTGTGAGTGTTTCACCGAATTTTTTAACTAGCACTGATTCAATCTCTTGCTTAGTCAAATAATTGCCTTTCACTCCTGTGGTAAATGTTGTTACATAATCTCGTGGATCGGTAGTTCCATCATACTTTGATATCGGGCATCTTGAACTTTTTTGGAATAGGTAAAGGAGAGGCACTTAGTTTCCAAGGTTGTTGAGAATATTTCTCCATGTCCACCCCTTTGATTATAGGTAGAACACCAGGTATCTGCTCTATGCAATCATCCTACTTATTGATCAGTTTCTGCAAAGTTAGCACTAAACATTGTAAATCAGAATTAATTGGAATACCTAACCTTCCATCATGAGATTCGCTGGGAGTTCCTCCACTGCCCGAATTGGCGAGTCCCGAACGTGGATTTTCTATGGTGGCGGTGTTATTTGGCAGTGGTATAGTTGGCAACCCACTACAAAAGCCTGAAGAGCATTATTGACCTGTTCTGCGATCAATTGCTTTAATGTTGCATCAATAGCTTGATCATCCTCATGTTGGTTATTCACATGTGATTCAGATCTGTTAGGTGTCCCTTCTCGAGAGTTTCGAGGTGAAGGGACTGGAGTTTTATCCCCTTGTTGATTTTGCTGGTTCAACTGGTGTTGCTAATTTTGTTGGTTGTTGCCGTTAGCAGTCGACATGATTTTTTTATAGGAAAAAGGATTTGGAAACTGAATGGATTATCAGATTCCCGGTAATAAAACCAATTTGTTTAACCAAAAAATAGAAATTTCAGTCAAAGCCTATTTTTAGAAGTACTCAGGTTACTGATGTTGGCCCAAATGAAGGTTAGTTTGAAGATTGACAAAGGAAGCTCAGG